TTCGCTTGTGTGGGGCAGACGATGAGTGTGTTATCGATATACCTCAAGTAAAGGATAGGTTTGCGGTTGAAAATGGGCTCTTCTATTTTTGACATAAATACAACTGCTAAGATCGGTGCCAAACGTTGGCCCATTGCGAGCCCGCGGATTTGTTTGTGATACTGTCCCGACCATTTGAAAATCGAACATTCTAAGCATTCCTTCAACAATGTCATGACTTGTTGGATGTTCAAGCCGTAGAAATTGATGCTGTTGCTTTTCTCGGTCAGTAATTCGAAAACAGTTTGCAAAGCATCCGAGTTCGAAACAGTTGTTGGAGCGAAGTGACGTCAAAAGATCTAATGACGTCATGCGCACCGAATTTAGTATTTTTCAAATGGTGCCTAACCTCACGCCATCGCAGAGAAAAGATGTGAAGGAACTTCGAGAGCTTTCAGCTACAAACATCAAAGTTGGATTCACAGATAAAGGAGGTAAATTCATAATCATACCGAAACAATTGGAGATTGAAATAACTCAGAAATATCTCCAAGACAAAACAACATATTGCGTGTCTTCTAAAAAAGAATTTACAAAGCAATATAAAAAGTTGAACAGACTCTGGATTCAGATAGCGCGAGCAGCAGGTCTTGCTAAGCAAACCGTATTCCGCCTGAAAATTGATTTACCACTGTGTTCCGTGCTATATGTCCTCATAAAAACACACAAATTACCATCTGGCCTACTCAATCCACGAAATTCTTTGGACTACAAAGTTCCGATCGTAAGCAATGTCGATGGTCCCACGCACGGGATATTGTGGTTGCTCAATCTAATCTTAACGCAACTACTACCTACATACTCGCGCACTTAGCCAACACAAATGCTCTGCTTGACCATTTGAAAAATACTAAATTCGGTGAGCATGAAGTCATTAAATCTTTTGACGTCACTTCGCTTTTTACAAATGTTTCGAACTCGAATGCTTTGCAAGCTGTTTTCGAATTACTGACCGAGAAAAGCAACAGCATCAATTTCTACGGCTTGAACATCCAACAAGTCATGACATTGTTGAAGGAATGCTTAGAATGTTCGATTTCCAAATGGTCGGGACAGTATCACAAACAAATCCGCGGGCTTGCAATGGGCCAACGTTTGGCACCGATCTTAGCAGTTGTATTTATGTCAAAAATAGAAGAGCCCATTTTCATTGAGGTATATCGATGTTACACTCAATGGACCTATGTTTTGACATACTGACTAATCAAACGGCTGACATCAAATTTACGAGAGAAACGCCTAGGCTATAACTTAGATCGCATGGTTTTCACAGGAGCGGTTTGATCGTTTGTGTTTTCTTAGATATAGGTAATGGTTGAAAAACCACTAGCATTTTGAAAATGAGAACAAGATTTTGGATGGCCAAACTCCGTAGCTTGGCGCTTGTTTGAAGTGTTTCCTTGTGTGGATAGTGGTGCTTCAACTAGTGCTCTGTATAGAGACTGCTGAACTTAAAGAAGAGGTAGCTATCCCACTTAGAATTGAGTTATTAGTGTTTAACAGAACTCTTCACTGGGTGCTCTATTTCTAAAAGTTTCGGAATCTGCTAAAGCTTGATGCACTGTAGTGATTTTTAATGCTGATAATGAAAAGAATGTTTTTTATGCTTGGTACAGCTGAGCAGATTTTCCGCTTAATATGGTGTGCTTGCACTGAAGGTGAAATGCGATAAACTTTGCGCGTAAAGAAATACTAGAGTGAGTCAAAAGTAATGAGAACATCGCATCTATTTTTAAACCTATTCTCAAATTAAGCAGAATGTATTTAGACAAGTGCTCTAAGGGATGTCCGGCACGGATTTTGTTTCTCTTTTCGATAGCTATAATTTTCAACCAAATCACTTCGTAATCGCAGAAATACTTGCAGAAACTTTGGACCCAAAGCGCCTTCTGTTTAAAGTCTATGGTTTTTTCAAACTTATAAAAAAATTCTAGATTGTGGTAATTTGCAGCGATAAACGCGTGATTACCATGCGAAATCAAGGTGTGATGATAAACTATTGTAGGGTAACTTTCGATTATGCACGAAACGCTTTTGATCGTACTTGGAAGCCTCGATCATGCGCCCGACTGTAAAGGAGGAAAAACTAATTGCTTCTTAGAAGTTGTAGTAACAATGGTACCGGAAGGAAGGAAGAAGTGGCTTCCAGAGGTTACTCATGCCTTTGTTAGACAATTAATGGCGGACGACAAAAAGGAAATTTGGAGAAGAGAAGTAAAAGAACTTGTAGCGCCCGGTCGCCCGTTAAAGCAGTATATAAGTACCACAGAATTTGTTGTATCAGAGTAGTATAGTATAAGCTTTGTCTTTAATCGTTACTTCTTATTTCCTCATCTTTCCTCATGAGGGCCTCCTCTTCGGAGGCCCGTCAGTCGCCCTTGTGACCTCTTTGTTCCTATGAACAATCCTTTTACTTTCATCCCGCGTGTTATCTGTAATTTTCACTATCTTGATTGATTTTGTCTATGACGCAAGGTCATAGAGCGGGGATGAGTTATGTAGTGAGAGTGTGTATGTGTTCTCTGAGCTGGAAATAAATGGTTGTTGGGAGACGGTGCAGATGCAGATGTATTGGCGGCGTTTCAACGTGGCTAGATCCCGACTAGTTATTTATGGCGTTCTAGTTCGGTAGTACAAAAAACCAAGATTGCAACATTTTATTGTCATTGGGACTTTCTCCGGCCACGCCTCGGAACTGCGACATGAAAATTTATGATAATGGGTTAAGGCTGAATGATATAGACTATAGAAATAGAGACCCCGCTGCACGATGAATAATATATCAGCCTTACACTATTTTCGAAGCTCTTAAATTCGAAAGATTTCATAGGGTTTGACGCAATTTTTCTGAGCCATTTTTTGAAAATTTGGGGCTTTTGGAAAAATGATTTTGAAGGGCCTCAAAATGCTAGTTTAGAAATACCTGGATAGTGGTTTGCATCAAGCAAGACCTGCTTTCTCTTTATGTTATCAAATTTGTTCGAAAACCTCAAACTGAAAATTCTGAGGATTAGCTAAACTCAATCAAAGCAAAGATGACGGGCTCAAAATTTGGAAAATTTTTTCGACAACTAATAAGTCAACTGGGCCAATGGCCTCACTGCTGAAAAGGGAAAGAAAAGCTATGTTTTATATGATTTAAGTTACTTTTTTATCGCTACTCTACACGGGTTGCGAAAGGTTCGAAATGGGGAGGCAAAAGTTCTCGTTACTTTTGACTCAAACTAATAGCTACGCCTGTAACGCTGGCCATTTGCGCGCGCAAAATGTTGGCATTACTGGCGTGGCTACTTGTTCACGCGCAAATTCTACCACGTTTCACCTTCAGTGCAAGCACACTATATTAAGCGGAAAATCTACTCGACTGTAGGGTCTCGACAATGCTTACGAGCTGGCAACCTCGGCTCGGTTCGTTCCTATTAATTATAATTTCGTCAACTCACTTACCTCCTGTGCCAACTCAGCCTCGTAGGTGGATCTTAAATAGTCGATAATCATCGACTAGTGGCGAAAAGTAGTCTATGGCACCCGCTCGCATGCACTCACAAGGGAAGTTCACTTAGTCGAAGTGGCAATTTGGAAGGTGATCTATACCAATGCATAGAGCTCGAAACGTTGATCTCAGATATACTTTCTATATCTGCATTGTTGCGAAAAAAAAATTATGAGCTTTTCTAAAGCCAAATTTACTGCAATTTGAGTCGCCAAATCAAGATAATTTTTACGCAGAAGTGTGCAAGCTTAAGCAAACCACCTAGCAAGTATGTCTAATTTGGTTTTTCCGAACGCTTTCGAGTGTTTTCCGACTATGTTGTTTACCCGAAGGTTGCCTTTTTTTCTAGATCACACTTCCATTATACATTCAAAAAAGCCCATAACTCCATCTAGAAAAAGGCGTCGCAGATATTGAAGGTACATTTGAAAACAGCGTTCTACGTTCTATCCCTTGGTGTACATTACCTTCCGAGTCGCCACTTCGACCTGGCGAACTTCCCTTGTCAGAGTGAATGTGTTCAAATCGTTAAAAATCGGTTCATTAAAAAATTGTCTGAAACATGCGTGCACACATACACCTTACACATAGACCCACAAACAAGCATACAGCTTTGTCTATGCAGATTGTATATCAACATCAGTGGCGTACCGACCCCTCCCTTGAGAGTCGAAGTTTTTGATAGTCACTTACATGGGTTATATATACATGTGCAAGTGATTTTTTCATACGCGTAAATAATTATATTAATTTTTGAAATCTTCTAAAAAATCAGTTTAGCTTTCGGAGGAAATTGCATTAGAAAGAGATTTTTGTCCCCCCCCCCCCCCCCCCACGAATGCTGAGTACGCCACAGATGACAGTGGGTCACTACAGTCTGCGTTTGCATAGGGCTCAAACTGATTGTTAACACATATCAACATACCGCTGACATCAGGCACATCGATTATGACCGCTTTTCCTCTCAACCCTTCAGCAACCCTCCAGGTGTGGCGTACCACACCCAATGCCTGGTGTTGATCCGGCGGTTCCGCTTCTCAGAACGATTTTCTTGCTTCCGAATACATCTTTTGCAGCGAGACTTGTGATACCACTTAGCTGGGGCTCTACCGACTACATCTAAATTAAGAACTTTATATCAAAGTAAACGGTGCCACCAACACTAGAAACACTCCCCGGTCTATGCAGGGGCAGAGTCCTGTTTTTTAAACTCATATCTGATTTCTTAGACGTAGTAACGCCTGCGACTAAAACTGCGCAAATTAAGAGATTTATCGGAAAAGATTTGAAAGGAAATAAATGCTCTCATTGAAACAAGGCGAATATTCAAGAGTAATTTGAAAGATCTCATAAATTTCTTGTTCTTCTCGGAAGGGATTTCATAAAGGCTTGCAAGGATGTGAGAAATTCTCTTCACACTTGTTGTTTTGATCGGATTAACAATTGAAAACTGCTTTCTACATTACAGGAGCTCGAATTCGTATCCACAATTAGCAAAGGTGTTGGAAACGCCAGAACTGCAGTATTATTCACAGGACATAGCCAAATGGTTACCGCAATGGCTTTTGGCCGCCACAGCAAAGCAGATCTCGAGTGGGTTTCAAATGTTAAAAGCGCGCAAAGCGCAAACGTTCATCCATTTTAGATATTCAATTTATAATTCCAAAGTTTCTAAAGTTTGCCCTGGGTTAACGGTTTTGACCGCGTATTATTGCGACCTTCAAACAAATGTTATGTTATTTTCCTCTTCTGCAGTTCATGATCTTCCGGCTGGCATCCCCGGCCTTAACCGCGGACGGTCTGAATTAGTCCATACTGCGATCCGAATCCTCGTTCAAAGAGATGCAGTCTGCCCCAATCATGCTGAACCGTCGGAATTCGCGCGCTGCAGCGCCAGAGTTTGCGCTGCATAAGCGCGCTGTCGCAAAGAGCGAAGAGATTGAAGAGAAAGCAAATTAGCCAGCCGTGACGGACAATACCTTCGCGACACAGAGTCCCGCCATGCCAATTCTGGCCTGGTTGGTATTGAGGCAGACTGTAAGCTCGCTTGCTTTATGAAACCTTGCATAAAATGAACTTTACCTCAGTTTATGCGAAACAGGAAGTTTGTTTGGTTGCATTTGAAGAATAGTCTTGTTAGCAAAACGTTCCAAAACAAAACCGATACAAGAACCGAGGAAGTTGCCCCAAAAAACTCCACCAAAGTCGATAACATATATGTGCAAAGTTTCAGTTCTCATGAAATGTCTATTCTAGAAACGAACACGACAAACGTTATCAAGTATTAGGTTGTAACCGAATTAATGCAGGTTTTTCTTTGAAGTTTTGTTTGGATAACTCAAAATGTCTACATAAACAGTCTTTTCGTGTGCAATAAAGAAGGTTGTGATTAGCAAACCTTTGGCAACTTTGTATACATTATTTTGTTGTTGTTGCTTCACAGAGAAAAATCTTACAGCCGAAAAATTGTCACAAATTTTCTGTAATGACCTTCATTTAATAACGCTCTATTTCGGTTGCTTACTAATCTTAGCATAAAGTTGACCACTGTTATATTCTTCTTCAGTCTGTCACATGGCTTTCAGAAGCTTACGGGCTCGCCAAGTATTCAACCTAAGGCGCACTCCGCATACGGTGGTTTGCTCACGAAACGGCTCTCTCGGTAAGCGCTGACTCGATTCTTCGCATTGTTTTCGTTTCAGCTCCTACCCATGACGCTTGATTATGTCTTGTCGTGGGATAGGTTTAAAAAAATAGCACAAGTGTTTTGTGAACTTTCTATAAGAAAGGCGACGACATCGAAATGTCAGCCTTAATGAAGTTATCAACAATCTTGGTGACCATACCTTCGATAGTCTAGAGACAGGGCGCCAAAAGTGAAGGTTGTTTGAACATCTGACGTCACAAATGGTGAAGGTTGTTCAAAGAAGATCAGAGAAAAGAATATGACGTAAAACATACATAAAAAGCAAAAGAAACGGCTGTAAACCGGATAAAAACGCTGCAATAAGATTTGAAATCTTTCATTTGGCGGCTTTACAGAGTGCAAGTTTTCGCTCCAGGACCAGCAATTCGCAACACGGGGTTTTGATTTTTGATGCGTCCTTTAAATTTTACCCCCGCGCCGTCCCTCTTGTACCCTGCGACGTTGTCTAGATTCTTCCGCTCATCATTCTGAGCAAGTATCGTCCAAGCTGGAGAAAATTCGTTGCGAAACTGCTGAAAAAGAATAAGGTAAAGAAAAACGCATTTTTTAGTAATTTTCACAAAAAAAGCGGCATAAGCAAAGAAATAAGCTCGGCGACGTTGTCTACATTATAGACAGAAACAAGACCTATCGACTACACAAAGAAACTGCGCGAAAAGAGTCAAACTAGGAGAAAAACGAGAGATTTTCAAAAACAAGGTTTTTGCTAGTTTTCTTGTTTAAATCATAAAAAGAAGTCCTGCGACGTTGTCAGCGTGAAAATAGAGATCAAGAGCTTCAAAATGATATATAGCTTGCTAAAATTGGGTTCGAAACAGCGAAGAAAAGGGTACCAGAGCCAAATGCCCCGCGCCCCGCGCTTGGGGTAGCGAGGTAGCGCGCAGCGCGCGGAGACGCAGAAGAGCAGCGGAGAGAGACCAGAGCCGGCGGGGCATTTGGCTCTGGTCATTGATCTTCGCGGGGTCATAACGAAACCCTATAATATTATATATAGTTGTGATCCTCATGACACGGCCAGGAGCACTGACAACGTCGCGGGTCTTGAATTTCACTCCATAACGAGATAGACCAGCATTTATGTGGCGACTCTCTGCGCAAGATTTCAGCGCAGTTTCTCGTTTTTGTTGAACTCCAGCGGCTTTCATGAGCCTCCAACGCTCAATCGCAGTCTATAAAAAGGTTAAGTGATAAGTTTTATCTTAATTTCTAATTGAATTTTTGAAGAAAAACCCTCTTTTCAGCAAAAAAGGCCATGAAAACGCAATCTTTCGGTTTTTTGAGCTTTTCTTTGGATGTCACTACTATATTTGCCTCATTCACATTCATCCTTACATAGTTAGTCATTAGTTATGTCATAATATCCGGGGCTTCGCCCCGGATGACTTGTACTCCTCTCCAGGTGAAGTTTGTGTCCTCTCATGACACTCAAAGTGAAGGTTACCAGAGTACGTGGCTCTATGTATCGAAGGTATGTTGGTGACACGCTGACAAAGATTATAGCAGTGATCAACCTTCACTTTGAAAAATCATAACTTATCAAATTTAGTAGAGTAGCGCAGACATGACCCATTATGTAGGCTATAATCGGCTGTGCAGCGGCGCCAGACTCTATCTCACAAAACCTTTTTGCGAGAAGATACACTAAAAAAAGTTTTGAAAATTCTAAAAACATTTTTTTCAATTTTCTAAGGAGGTTGAAAATTGCACTTCTAGAACTTTGAGTTCAAGAGAATGAAGGAAAAAACGGTTTCTGGTTTCTTAGTTATAAATTACTAGCTTAAGATTTCGGTCTCATCCGAAATTATATTAGTTAGGCCAACAAAATGCGTTACATACGCGTCTAAACTCCTTCTACCACGCGCGAAAAGCGCTTTGAAACAAACTGTAGCACTCTGCCAAGTTTGAAATTAAAATGAGCTTTGCTGCCCTTGCTTACATGTTTATTAGAAAATAAGCGGTTAGAGCATGAGAAGCCTTTCATTTTCCTATGTGAGCAAACAATCGATACATCATTAGAAAAACCCTGCGAGTTGCCTCAAAAAAGCAGCCTATAATTTGCGCAGGGGTTGAATACATAAGTGTGCAAAGTTGCAGCTCGGTCGTTTTACCGTCGAAAGTTTCTATAAAACACAGGCAGATAAATCGGAACCTTACAGACAACATTGAGTTTCCCAAAAAAATGTGTCCACTGTTTGATTGTAATTATGATAGACGTCATCCGTCTAGTGCGATGTGTGTTACTGCACACAATTTTGAAATCCCGGATGAGGTGCTAAGCTCCCGCCATGTCGTACTTACACCAAGTGCGCATACGGCTGAAATTCAACGCCGAACTATTTTTTTTATTTTGGTGTTTTTTTTTTGCTCCTTTTGCTGCATGCACGGTTTAGTTTTCAATGATTCATTACCTTTACACTCGTGCATTGCCGTTTTAGATAGGATATCCCAAAATTTTTCACTTCTGATTTCAGGTAAGGAAGGCACATGGGCAATCTTGCAGGATTGTGAAGTAAGTGTGTTTCTCAGTGTTGTCGTATGTAGGAAGAATAGACTGTTTCTTAGACAAGAGTCTTAACTTCTTTTTGATTGTTATCGAAAATCCTGGTTTTTTATGCCGAGTTTCAGTGAGAAGCTGTTTTCAAACAAAGGATTGCTTCCAGCGGAAATTTTTGCTGTTATTGCGATGTTTGTGAATTCCATGAACGATTTAACATTCAGAGCACTGGGCAGAAATCAGAGACAGTAAACGTCCGCAAGGACCATCTGTCTCCTCTGTTTTAATTAGACAGTCGGATTCCCCGAGTCCGTACCAGTTCCAGTTCGACCGTTTTGATGGTCGGTCAGGATACTAAGCCCGAAGACAAAGCACACACCTGAAAACGTCCACAAGGCAGTCTTGTCACTAGTCCAGCTTCAGCGTGAGCGTCTGCCAGCCACGGACGAAACCGCACAAGCATCAGTTAACAGGCCAACCGACCCGGTCACTGGAGCCAATCCTTTTCCCGAAGTTACGGATCTAATTTGCCGACTTCCCTTACCTACATTATTCTATCGACTAGAGGCTGTTCACCTTGGAGACCTGATGCGGATATCGGTACGATGCAGCACAGATTAATAGCCTTCCTTGGTTTTTCAAGGGCCGTCCAGAGAACACGAGACATCACAGAAACCGCGATGCTTTACGGAAACAACGTCCCTATCTACGGCTGAACCGATTCCAGGGAGTCCGTTCCTTAACTAGAGAAGAGAACTCTAGCTCGGTCTCTGAGCGACGTAACCAAGTTCGAATGCGTTACCGCGCAAGCGACTCAAAGAGCCGCAATCTCTGTGTCTGCGTTAGGGAATATTAACCCTATTCCCTTTTGATATCCGAGAGAAAAGAAACTTTTTCCTCTCAATGATACAAGGCATAAGCCAGTATCTTAGGATCGACTGACCCACATTCAACTACTGTTCACGTGGAACCCTTCTCCACTTCAGTCTTCAAGGATCGAACTTAAATATTTGCTACTACCACCGAGATCTGCACTGACGGAAGCTCCAGCTGGGCCTACGCCCAAAGCCTTCGACGCAACCGCCACGACCCTCCTACTCGTTGCGGCCAGGCGTTAGACAACGCACAAGCCAGCAACGGCTGGGTATAGGTCTCTCGCTCAAGCGCCATCCATTTTCAGGGCTAGTTGATTCGGCAGGTGAGTTGTTACACACTCCTTAGCGGGTACCGACTTCCATGGCCACCGTCCTGCTGTCTATATCAACCAACGCCTTTTATGGGGTCTCATGAGCGAGAAGTTAGGCACCTTAACCCAACGTTTGGTTCATCCCAC